CGAGTTAAATATATGGTAATTTGTCTATAAGTGGGGGCTGAATAGAAAATTAAAAATCCCTTCTTTTCGATTTAAAAAATCATATTATCCAAAAAAGATGAATATGGCAAAAACTTTGTTTAAAATATTTTAAGCTATTAGAAAAAGATTGTTGTAATACTCTCTCACCAATGGTTTAGAATGAAGATATGGACAATGCAATAGACAGTGGTTAAAGGTTCAAACAAGTTGTTTGATACATTAAACAAGTTGTATGATACACTTAACAATTAATCAATTTAGAGTAATACTAATTTCATTTATTTATAGAATAATCAATAATGTGATTATTTAGAAATACAATTCTAATCAAACCTAATTTTATACAAATTAAGACTATGAATACAATAAACCTATGAAGCATACAATTCTAGATAAAATGATAAATCTAACAGATAAAGTAAACATGCGCGCGCGCACACACACACACACACACACACAGAGAGAGAGAGAGAGAGAGAGAGAGAGAGAGAGAGAGAGAGAGAGAGAGAGAGAGAGAGAGAGAGAGAGAGAGAGAGAGAGAGAGAGAGAGAGAGAGAGAGAGAGACGGTAACAGTGCACCAAGATTTATACTAGTTTGGTGTCAGCAAGGAGAACCATAAAAAAATTGTCCTTCTACTATACTCGTTGATTTTGGTTTAGGTTACAACAAATCAAATGAAACTAAGATAAACTATAAAAATTCAATTTACCTTTTCTTACTTCTCGATTGATCTTATCTACAACGAGCTCCTCATCCACATGTGATCTTCACTCAGTCACCATCTTTAATATTTGACAAACTACAAATTTGAATGCTCACCGATCTTCACTCAATCCCAAGCTTCAAACCTTGAGTTCTTTCCTTAAACCTTGACAATATGTTGATCTCACTATATCTCAAATTTCAAGCCTTGAGTACTTCTCCTTCAACATGTTTACCAATGCACACACAAAAAAACTACAAACCTATAGAGAAAAAGATCCCTTCTTTTTTTCTTCAATGAAATTCACCTCTTGAATTTCCTCAAGATCAAACACTTGTTATGAAATCTTTCCTTAAACACTTGTTTTTCATAATTAAAAGTTTACCAATGCATTATCTCATACACATATAAATAAGAGTTTGAAAAATAAGAGTTTAATAATCCATGTTTTGCTCTCTTGAGTTCTTTCCTTAAACACTTGTTTTTCAAATAGCCTTAAATATATCAAATTTAAGTTTGTAATGAATCAATTCCAATATTGGAATTTGCTTTAAATGATCTAGATCAAAAGGAAGTGGGATTGATTTCTAAGAATCAGATCCTTCTAACGTGTGAATTGATTCCTACAAATATAGACAAAACATGGATTATTAAACTTTTAATTAAATCGACTCCAACAAACAAAAGTAAAATAAGAGTTTGGAAAGATCTAATTGATCGGATTCCAAGTGATGTGTGAATTGAATTCCAGCAAACAGAGTCAAATCAAGAATTTGAAAAACATCATTTTGAATCAATTCTAATTTTTGTTTGAATCGATTCTAATAGACTTACAGTTTAAATTGGATCATACATTACCTCGAATCAATTCATTCAAGGTTGACTTTAGTATACACTTTATTATATACATGAAAAACCTATTATCTATGTGCGTGATGAAAGATTCAGAGAGACTTGAAAAAATACGATAAAATATAATATACAAAACAATTAAAACAACAAAATAATTGATAATACACTTGAGGGTAATTTTATACTTTTTGTTTGTTATATGCGTCTAAATTGTATATTATTGACAAGGAAAAAATACATATAATTTCATAAATTCATAAAGTTTGGGAAAAATATAGAGTGTAATGACCAATTTTTTTTTTATTCAAATTATAATAATCCATACAAAACTTCATGATTTTGTGTCTATCTTAATAACAAGTCTTCCCCCTGTTTATTCAATTCCGACACTTTCAATGAATGTATAATAAGTCAGTTTGTTTTAGGGTTAAAAATTAATATTTTTTATATTTTCAAAAGAATATTTCGTGTCTCTCTCAATAAAGTCTTCCAACTATTTATTCAATTCTGACAGTTCCAATGAATATATAATGAATCAGTTTGTTTTAAGTTTAAAATTTAATTTTTTTTTATATTTTTAAAAGAATAATTAGAAAAATATTTTTTTAGAAATATTAAGAGTTTTTTAAATTTATTTTTCATAAATTAAAAGATTAATTTTGCCATTAAATTAAATAACATGAATATAGATTATAGAATATTCAAACATAGTTAAAATTATAAATAAAAATATTTGTTTTAAAATTGATTTTTATCTTAAAAAAACTATTTGAAATAGCTTCAACTTTAAATAATTTTTTTATATTAAAAAAATCATACTAATGGAATTGTAATAAAAAGTATTTAATTGAACTTTTAAAAAAAATTGTAAATTACTTTTAATAAAAAATATGTGACTATAAAATTCATCTGTTTTAAAAAATGAACATTACCAATATGATATCGTCAAAATAGATTCAATTTAAGGATCGCAATGAGAAGACTTTGGACAGTATTTATCTCTATATTCACATTTGAAAAAAAATCTCCATAGCCAAACTCATACCCATTTAGGTCCAAATATTAGCATTCCTACACATTTTCCATAGATATGTAAGTACTCGTATATGTATCTTTTATTTTATTTTTAAATAAATGAATCAATTATAAATTATCATATTATTTTAAATTTTTAATTAAAAAATATTATTAAATTATAAATAAATTAATAATTATATTAAATACTTGATGTTTTAACATTGATATATTTCTAAAATAAATAACATATATTTTTATTTTATAATATAAATTAGAATATATACTACATTAACGTAGATATGGTGTCCAATTTCACATTTATATTTATATATTTCAATAAATAATTACTCGAACTTATGTTGATATTATTTTTGCAGGTTTCTATCTTACATGGGTAATTTTACGCAGTTGAGAATGGGAAATCAAATCAATTGACAACTCAACTTCTGACCTTGGAGGTAATCTTTCAAAGATGGAGAATACTATTGAAAATCCTATGTCCAAAGGTAGCTCATTCACCTCAGCACTCTTTATGACTGCAGCAACCATCAATATCATATAAATCTACAGTCTATCCCTTGTAGATGGACCAAGATCTGCTAACTTTGAAGCTAACATGATCTCAAGAACTTAGCTTAGAAGCTAACATGAATATTAATTTGACTTCTATTTCTTCCAAAATAAACGTGTGTTTTTAACAACTAACAACAACTTTATTATACGATCAACTTTTTAGACCTTATACATGAAATTAGTGGTCACATATTTAGGTTCACTATCTAGTCAATCTAGGTTATTAATCTATCATGTTTCAAATTCAAAGGTTGATTATTTGATTGTCGGTTTCATCTATACTTGTCTCTTCTCTTTAATGGTTTGATCTATATGTTTGATTGTTCTCTTTTTCAAAATAAGAGTCTATTTAAAAATTTCACCCACAATAAGTAATATTTAGTTTAAAACAATTTTTTTACTAAAAACATTTATTTTATGACAGAAGAAATAGTTTAGTTGATTTATCCATATCACTATGAGATTATCCCCATTTAATAGGACTATTAACGTGTACCTCTATATCCATATACTGCTAGACTATCCCCATGGTCTTGTTTATGGATGTCTAAGACAAAATTCTATTAACTTCTTTTCAATGAAAAAGAAAAAGCTGCCTCTAATATTTGAAATTTTTATCATTTCGTGTCATTTGTCTAACCACTCATCAATAGACTCATATTTAAAACAAGTTTAAACTATTTTAATGTTTTTACATAAATAAAATAAAATTAAGATAAGCAAAATTAAACTCAACAGAACATCCACCTGAATTCAAAACCAAAGCCTTCTGGTTTGTGTGAAAATTTCAGATGAACATGATGTTTTGTCTAAAGATATAAAAAAAACTAAAACTAAAATTATAAAATAAAAACATTAAAGTTTTCCAAATCATATATTCGAGTTTCTCAAAATGCTCAAATTGGTATTAAGAGTTTATCAATCACATCACCCACTATTTATCCCAAGCACCAAATCAATAGTATCGAGTGTGAGGAAATATATTGAAAAAATCCAACTTCACATATCAACAATTCAAACTATCTATCATTTTTATTCACGCACCAAATTTAATAATGACGGAGGTATGAGGGTGTATTGAAAAATATTTTTCACAAAGTGGATTTTGTATAGATGAAATATCTCAAATAGTAATATCTGCAAAAAGAAAATAAGAAAATACACTACTAAAAGGAGCCTTTCCGTAAACACCCCACATTTTCATGAGATGATTGAGAAACTTCCTTTACTCGGCTGACCATGTCCAGAGCCCGAAAACAACCCTTGGTCGTCAACCAGCATAATTTCAAGTTAATATAATAAACACACCGAGAAGAAGATAATTTAACACAAGAAAAAAACAAAAAATGAAATATCTTAACAAAATGTCAAGTATAATAATATAAATAAATAAAAAATGTTTCAAACTACTCGACCCTGGTCTGTACACATAACTCTGCCCACAAGGCACCTGTAAGGGAAAATGCAAATCTTTCGAAGATATGCTGCTGGCCAGTATCACTGATGAAAAATACATCAGTAACTGATTCAGATCCAACTGAAGACCTGTCTACAACACTAAAAATACAGACTTCTAGAAAACCTCCAAGGCAACAATATCTGCTAAGTTTTACAATCTTAAGATAAATATAACCCTATTCAACAAAACCATTTTCCTCAAAGGTAACACAGAATTAAGTTATTTTAACCCGTCATCAACTACAGGTTATAAAACATTTACTATGTGCACATCTGATTATATAGTAAGAATCAGATTCCAATAGCAATGTGATGTGTAGAGATACAGAGATTGTTCTAAGTCACCTTTGTTTGCCTCAGAGAGATGCTCTAGTTTTATTGGCGCGAGATGGGGACCATAGGCATTGAGGAAGACGGGTTGTAGTAGTTTCCATCAGAACTCTGAAAACCCTGATATGGGTTCATTGGAGGTGTATAGGGTGATACATTGTTCATGGAAATCCCAACTGCAGGATAGGCTGCCATTGACGGCTGTTGCATCACACCATAGCTATATGTCATATTGTTAACAGGTCCAACAGTCTGCATGAACTGCGGCACAGGGTATTGTTGAGGCATTGGTGGCGGTGGGGGTAGTGGGGGAGGTGATGATGAGGGTGGAGGTGGTGGCTCATTTGGAGTAGATTGCTGGTTGGATGAAGATGCATAGTGTTGGGTAGGTTCAGAATGCGAAAAGGGAGGAAGTGGTTGTTGAGGATTCTGAGATGGCACATGAGATGGCACATACGATGGCCCATCATTTTCAAGCTTAGTCCTCTTCTCGGAGTGATAATCAGCAGAAGACTCTGTCATCGGATTGCCTATGACACCTTCTGATGCTAAAGAGGATAGCACATAAGACAGCATCTGGGCGGAGGATGTGGATGCAGTCAGCTTTGCTGCCACTGCGGCGGCTGCAGACTTGCGTGGATCTTCCTCACTGTGTCCAGAATTTTGATGAAACAGCATTTGTGGTGCATACATTAATGGGGCTGATAGCTCCCTGTCGCCAGAAATAAAACTTGCAGGTGCCATGGAGGTCTGAATTTCCTTTGAGCTCTGTTCAACTAATGACTGAATATTGTTGCCGTTCAGTAATTGTTGGCAGGTATTGTTCGCATGTTCCCACTGAGCACTTGCAGCCTGAAATATTTTAAAAGCCAAGTAGTCAAGTACTCAAATATATGAAAGATGCTTGTGCTGCATTAGGCCACAATGTTCCTAATACAAAAGATATTCCAGAAATTATAGAAGACCAATTATAACAGATTAAGATGTTTAGCACATTGGAAAAAATGTTAGGATTGCTTTTAAAGCATAAAGAAATGATAGAATGGAAAAAGCGAAAGCAGTTCTAGATTCTCCTCAATTTCAACTTGAAGAGCAAGCTTTTCCAAATTATCCCAATGCATCTCTAAACAACACATATTTTTCTGTTCTCACCTACCTTATCAAGGCCGCCATGTTTCATATTGACGAAGTTCTAAATTATCCATCTGGTGGTTGGGAGCCATTTTCCAATAGATTAACTTAAAAGAAGGGTAAATATTAATTCTAAGGTACCCTCCTCTCAAGACGAATATTTTTTAAAGTTCTCCTATTATGCACTTTTTTTAGTGTATGAGAAAAGCACAACAATTGTTTTAAACTAAAAAATTATCTACGATTGACTAAAGATAAATGATGAGTATTTTTAGTGTTCGTTTATTTATAAAAAATGAACAGAATGAGAGCAGCTATAACTAATCTACAATTTTGTGTAGGTTCCATACCTGGATCTGGCTACGAACTTGACCCAGCTTGAATTCCTGAGAACAAAAACATGTTAGAATAATATACAGTTTTAGGCAGTTCTGCAGTTTAGTAAACTTATTGTTTAAAAAGAACCTGATCCGTAAGAGCCTCTCTCAGATGAGACACAAGGCCAGCTCTTGATGATTCTAGTGTTGTTAACTGCTCAATACAGTCCTTTAGTATTGCATTGTGCCCCTGGAGCTCATTCACTACTGCAGGTCCATGAAATTTCCCTACACATAGATGATTGAGTCACATTAACAGGAGATGAATATAATAACGTTATTTACTTACCTTGACAACACAAGCACGAAGAACAAAGATGAATTGTTGATTTAAAAGCAAAGCAAGATCAAACACTAATTTGAATAACTAAACTAAAATGATTAAATCATGTAACTTTAATGACATCAACTAATTCAGCCAATTACCGACAACAAAATGACTTGGTCCATGTAACTTCAATGTTTTTTGATAGAAAACAATGGTGTGGATTTTATTTTTCCTAGCTGCTCCTAGTTAGAAGGATAATAAGGCTAGCTAGTTTTATTAACTTTTGTAGGTATTATTTCTATATATTGTTATTTTGGGTAATTTAAGTTAATCATGGCAGAATTTGACTCCTATTAGGATACTATATGGGTATGAAATATTTTATAAGACTGCAACTTAATAGCTATCTTATGCTGTGTTTCGCCCACCTTCTCTCTACAAAAGTCTACTAACTCTTATATATTTTAGCACAGGATTTTCATTCTACATAACAAATTCAAGAATTCCAAAAATATTTTGACCCTCTTCATAGTACTACTTTTCAAAAAGAATATTTTCCTCATTACTTGGGTATTTCCAGAAAAAACAAGAGAGAGGGCGGTAGTGCTGATTTTAGGAACTAGGAAGAGATTATACAGCACGAGTCATCTCATGACAGATTGACAACTCCATAGACAGGTTTGCAAAACTATTTATGTGCAGAAATTATTTTATTTATATTGCATGCTGCATCTGACATGAGTTGACTATTTCAATCAACACCAATTAACCTTTTGACATTCTGGTAGAACAGATACAGTAGTAAAAGAAGCAAACAATGAAACTAAGATGGGCAATGAGCTATGTTTGCTTAATACAGAGAACTTATGGATGAATCACAATTGCTGCAATTAGGAAAAACAATTACCATAATTAAATTTAACATACCTGAATTACTACCGTGAACTATTTCCTTATCTGCTTTCTCAAGAGAGCTAATGGCATCCCTGCATTTGCTTAATACAACATCTTCATCAGTCTGCCCTGCATAAATATGATGATAGCCTGAAACTATTTTATCCAATGCATTCCCAGCAGATGGCCTCTGCAAAAGGAAAAATAAGTATATAAATATGAGATACAATCAGCATGCAGAGAGTGTGTGTGTGTGTGTGTGTGTGTGTGTGTGTGTGTGTGTGTGATATATATATATGTATATATATATATATATATATATATATATATATATATATATATACACAAAAAAATACAGAAACATTACCAGTTTCACGTTCATAGGTTTCACATTCGTAGGTTTCGCATTCAAAGGTTTCAAATCATGCTTCCCAATAAATTCTTCCTTAAGGATTTGACCACGAGAACCAAAAACTTTTCTTTCTTCCCATATACCAATCTGCATAAAGGAGAGAGAGAGGTGATGCATTCAATAAAGTTTCATTAATACCAATATTTAATATTTCACATGATTTATTGTACCACAACATTTTGTCAGAGCCCAGTGTTTTCCATGAAATTTGATTAGTCTCTAATAGACATAACCTTTGAGATTGTTACGTAGTATACTTCTTATTTCTCTAGGTGATATGGGATTAAACCTACCATTTTAACCCATATTATTAAGGTTGCTAGTGAAAATCATAGTATATGTTGGAATTTCCGCCTTCATTGCGGTCCGCCCCTAGTCGCCTAATTGTGGCATTTAACTTGCATTCATTGCAGCCTCCAACACCTTCATTGTGTTGGGGTTGAAGGGGTGAAATTAGTCCCACAGTGCTTAGAGATATAGCCTGTATAGTGTTTATAAAACTTAGGCAACCCTCACCTTACAAGTCAGAGTTAGATCAAACTCTAATTCTAATATGGTATCAGAGCCTATTGATCAGACTATGGGTCACCCATCGTTTATATCCACGCATCAAAGCTCAATAGTGTTAGGTGTGAGGGGTGTATTGAGAATATCCACGCACCAAAGCTCAATAGTATTAGGTGTGAGGGGTGTATTGAGAAGATCCCAAGTTTCACATTGGTTAGAGATAGAACTTGAAAAAAGTTTATATGAAGTGACACTCCTTCACCTTACAAGCCGATTTTGTAGGGATGAGTTAGGTCAACCTCTAATTCTAATAGTATGCAAACTACATGTTCCTTTGCGGTTTGAAGCAAGCACCAAGGGTCTGGTATAGTTGAATAGAATCTAACTCAGTCAAAGTTGGATCCAGAAATAGTTAAAATAAATCAACTCGATGGTTAGAGATAGAACTTGAAAAAAGTTTATATGAAGTGACACTCCTTCACCTTACAAGCCGATTTTGTAGGGATGAGTTAGGTTAACCTCTAATTCTAATAGTATACAAACTACATGTTCCTTTGCGATTTGAAGCAAGCACCAAGGGTCTAGTATAGTTGAATAGAATCTAACTCAGTCAAAGTTGGATCCAGGAATAGTTAAAATAAATCAACTCGATATTTGAATCAAATTGATTGGGTTCGCAGCTTGTGTTTGTGAAGTAAATTGTCTACCTTGTCTTGTTATGTGACCTGGTATTAGAGATAGCTTTGTATATCCTTGTAACTGTTGTGATTAATACATTGAAATCATTTCCCAATTCTCTAACTAACTCCCTCTCACTCTTTTCTCTCAATCTTCTCTCTCTTTCTCATGGCTCTCACCTTCTAACATGGTATCTAGAGCTTCCTTTTTCTGAACTCACTAGCGTGGTTCAGTTCTCCTTCCATGGCGTCGTCTTCTTCGCAAACTGCAAATTCTAACCATTCCCTTGCTGTTACCACTTTCAAATAGAAGATTTCAATAAAATTAGATGAATTGAATTACCGTCAATGGCTTCAACAAGTTGAAGGTGTGCTTCGAGGCACTAAAATGGTGAAATATGTTGTTTCTCCACAGATTCCTGAGCAAATTCTCTTAGTTGCAGATCGTGAAGCACAAATCAAGAATCCAGCTTACGTCTTGTGGGAAGAACAAGATGCACTGTTGTGCACGTGGCTTCTTTCCACCATCTCTGACACTCTTCTGTGGCGATTCGTTCTTCTTCGTCATTCGTGGCAGGTTTGGGAGGAAATCCATGCGTATTGCAATACGCAAATGAAAACGAAGTCGCGCCGCTCCGATCGATCTCCAAAGGCTCGCGCACTGTTACTGAGTTCTTGGCGCGTGTTCGCACGATGGTGAATACTCTCATGGCGATTGGTGATCCCGTTCTACTTCGCGATCAGGTTGAGTTAATTCTTGAAGCATTACCAGCTGAATATGATTTTGTTGTTGCTGCGGTGAATTCTAGGTCAACTTTCGCGTCTCTTGATGAGCTTGAAGCTCTTCTTCTTGCTCAAGAAGCTCGCATTGACAAAACCAAGAAAGACGTAACTGAGACTGTCACTGTTAACCTCACTCAAGGTACTCCTCAATCTTCGAATCCTCAACTTACCTTCCCTGAACCGCCTGGTGCTGATCAGTTTAACTTCTACGCTGGTGGACGTGGTGGTCATCGTAACAGAGGAGGTTTTTGTGGTGGAAGATCTAGAGGACGTGGTGGCAGATTTGGTAACAGAGGCTCAGTTCAGTGCCAAATCTGCTACAAACCTGGTCATGAAGCTAGCTATTGTTACTATCGCCATTCACCTAAGCCTTATGTGAACTATGGCATTCCTTCATCCTTGGCTGGTTATGGCACTATGCAGTCCAATGTCTGGCATCGTCCTGGCTATCGTCCTCCTGTACCGCAGCATATGAACTCTCAAAGGGCTCCTCAATCTCTCTACAACAACCATCTTGGTGCAGCGAGACCTCAAGCTCTTATCACAGACACAAGTGCTAGCAGTCCCTTCTATAACCAAGCTTGGTACCCTGAGTCTGGTGCTACTCACCGTGTTACACCAGATCCAGCCAATCTCATGGATACTATCCCACTTCCAGGCTCAGATCAGGTTAAAATTGGGAATGGTCAAGGATTGTCTATCCAATCACTTGGTTCACTATCTTTTCCTTCACCTTACTACCCTAACACTTCCCTTAAACTCAATAAGCTCTTACTTGTCCCAGCCATTACCAAAAACCTTTTGAGTGTTAGCCAATTTGCCAAATATAATTATGTATTCTTTGAATTCCATGCTAATACATGCTTTGTGAAATGTCAGGATTCTTCTAAGATCTTGCTAAGAGGGTCACTTGGGAAGGATGGTCTCTACAAATTTGACAATCCAGCCCTATCTCAAGTCTCTCCTCAAGCTCATCATGTTTCCACTTCTAGCTTAAGTTCTAGGCATACTATGCCTTTTCATTGTAATAAAGATAGTACTTTTTCCTATCCTAAATCTCCTAATTTGTATCAAATTGTAATAAAGATACTACTTTTTCCTATCCTAAATCTCCTAATTTGTATCGAATCTGGCACTGTAGGCTGGGGCATCCACACCATGACACTCTTAGGCATGTTCTCAATGTTTGTAATATACCTATACTTAATAAAAGTCTCTTTGATTTTTGTAACTCTTGTTGTGTAGGCTGGGGCATCCACACCATGACACTCTTAGGCATGTTCTCAATGTTTGTAATATACCTATACTTAATAAAAGTCTCTTTGATTTTTGTAACTCTTGTTGTCTAGGCAAAGCTGATGCGTACCAACACAGTACACAATAGAATAGTAATAATAATAACAGTATTTAAGAGAAAGAACTTTATTGTATTGATGTATAAAGGAACAAAGTACAGAATAAGGAATTGTGAATCCCTAGATCTGTCAAGAGCTAGGCTCCTCAATAGAGAGTCAGTACTCTCTATCCTCAATGCACTAACAGACAAAATGCAAAGATGATTCTCAATTCCCTCTCTGACTCCTTATAACTAGGAAAGGAAATGTTGTGATGCTCTCTCTCATACACGTTACATCATCTCTAACAACCTTAGCCACTATTTCCCAATCTGCCCTTTCTTCTAGAATAAACCAATAATGGCTTGGCCCCACTAGTTGCTGAGTGAATTAATTGTCGATGTGGTGCTTCCTCATTTGTTTGGGTTCTATCAATACCTCCTCCATCAAAATGGACCTTGTCCTCAAGGTCAAATTTCGGAAACTGACTTCTAATCATTAATTCCTCCTCCCAAGTAGCTTCCTCCATAGTCTTGCCCTTCCAATGAATTAGTAACTGCTTCACCTCTTCCCCATGCTGCTTCACCTTCCGGGTAGCAAGTATAGCTTCAGGTTCATAAACCTCTACTTGTTCTTCCAACAGGTCTGGGAGTTCTGTGTCTTCTTGGTAATTTCCCACTGCCTTCTTCAATAAGGAAACATGGAAAACAGGGTGCACTCTAGATCCTTCAGGTAATTTGAGTTTATAAGCTATTGCTCCTACTCTTTCTATTATTGGGTAAGGGCCATAATACTTGGCAACTAATTTAACATTGATCCTGGTAACTACAGATTGCTGCCTGTGGGCTCTAAGCTTGACAAACACCCATTCTCCACACATAAAACTTCTGTCAATTCTCTTCTTGTCTGCCTGACTCTTCATTCTCTCTTGTGCCTTCAATAACTGAATTTTTAATTGTTTCAGAGCTTCATCTCTATCCATCAAGTCCTGCTGCACACTGGCCACTCTAGTTTTGCCTTGCACCCATCTTGTCAGCCGAGGTGGAAGTCTGCCATAAACGACCTCAAATGGTGTCTTATCTGTTGAGGCATGGTAAGTAGTGTTATACCAGTACTCAGCCCAATGAATCCATGTTACCCAAGTCCTTGGCTGATCAGCTATAAAACATCTCAGATAAGTTTCCGGACATCTGTTTACCACTTCTGTTTGGCCATCAGATTCTGGATGATAGGCTGTACTCATCTTGAGTTTGGTTCCTTGCAACTTGAATATTTCCCTCCAGAAGTTACTCATGAAGATAGGGTCCCTGTCACTTACTATTGATAAAGGAATGCCATGTAATTTGACTATTTCCTTACAAAAAATTTCTGCTATACTTCGGGCTGTATAAGGATGTTTCAAGGGTATAAAGTGTGCATATGTAGATAATCTATCCACTACTACCAATAAAGCTTCAAACTGTTTGGACTTAGGCAAACCTGAGATGAAGTCTAAGGATATATCCTCCCATACCTGTTCTGGAATAGGGAGTGGTTACAGCAACCCACCTGGAGATGATGCCATGTATTTTTGTCTTTGACATATATCACATTGTCTAACAAATTCTTGTATAGTGCTTTCCATACCTACCCAATATAGATTTACAGTCATTCTCCTATATGTTTTGTAGAATCCTGAGTGCCCTCCTTGTGGTGTAGAATGAAACTCTTGTAATAGAGTAGGAATGAGTTGAGATTTGTTGGAAATTACCAACCTGTCTTCATAAAAAAGAACCCCTTGTCTATA